TTGTTCTGCATTTTTTTCTGCAAAAAAAACCCAGCTTTTTCGTATGCTTCTTTTATCTTCGAATTGTATAGGTTATAAATAGAGTCGATGTTTTTAAGCTTACCTTAAGTTATTATCTTTTGTTATGAAAAATTAATAAGCTTGTAGAGGATTTAGCAATATTTTGACATTCTTTGATTCTAAAAATATTTTTGTAAAAACTAATTAATTTTAAACTAACAATTTATGACTAATTTTTACGAAATTCTCTTGTTTTGCTTGTAATAATTCTTTATATTCAGGTGCTTTTTTGTCCCTTTTTAGTTCTATTTTTAGTGCTATAAATTATTCCATCTTCCTATTTCGTGATGATCTATTTGCTCAGCGATTCGTATCGCAAGTTTTAATGTTAATTTTTTTATCTGTAACAAATGATGTCTACTGCTTTCACTTTTAAGTCCCTTTATAAATCTATCAAGCAAAACTGAATCTCTATTAGGGCCAATATTGAGTTTACTAATAATCTGTTCTAAAGCCTTAGCATAAAGTATTGGAGTTTCGTAAGTCATTTGATTTCGAATATAGAAACGAAAATTAGCCGCATCTATCCCTTGATAAGGCGAGAAAATGATTTCTAACGTAGATATAAGCATATCGTATGAAAGACTTAAAGGGTGAGCAGGTGCTATTTTGTTCATAATTGCTAAAGAAGCAGAACGGTCTATCATATTCAATAAAAACCTAGCTTTCATATCATCTGGTATTTTGAGTAAATTGAGTGTAAACTCAAACTCATTTTGCCATAAAAGAAAACTTTTCTTCTTTGGATTGAATCTCGAGATATACCTTTCAGCTTCAAATATTAACAACGCAAAGTTCTCCATTACTCCTGATATTGAACAAAAATTAAAATCTTTTTATTGTTTAAAATACTAAAATGGATTAGAAATTTTTGGTACAGTTTTTCGCTTACCTTTTTCCAATGAGTACTATGTGTTTTTGTAATATCCTTCGAAGTAAATATTCTGACCAGAATATTAATGTCTTATATTTATTATATGAATACTCAGTTTAAATGTATAGTATATAATGAAGGAATTAAAGTTCGTATTTACGGTAGAGAATAGTTTAAACAATAATTCTATAAAGTTAACAAAACATATAAAGCTAACAATACATATGCACCAATGATATTTTCACTACCTGTCAGCTATTAAGCGATTCCTATTTGAACTCAACTGTAAATAAGACTGAGAAGGAATAATTCCTTTTGAGTCCTTGCTACGCTTTTCAATATCTTCAAGCAATATAAATATTTTGGATTCTAAACAACATTTTAAAGTTGACAACATTCAACGGTTTAATGTGACTTTATTTGTCTAAGAATAACGCCTTCTAAAGGAGATCATTTTTGCATTATTATAATTCCAAAATAGTTTTTTTCACTTAATATTCTGAAATCTTATTAGGTGATAATCTCTTCATTAAAATAACATGTGTGCAGATCACACGTGTTAGAAGTGAAATCTTCAAAAACTAAGATTCGAGAGAATGAGATGCCCCTCGCTACCGCCCCCGTCACCCCGCCTCCGTCACTCCCGGAGGTGGCAAACGGGTGACGAAGGAGGTAGCGGTGGGCGTCTCATTCTCTCGAAACTTAGTTTTTGAAGGTTTCACTTGTAACACATGTATTTTACGTTTTATTATTGTTGACATATAATACATAACATATTACACAGTAAGCAAGTTCTCAATTTAAAGAAATAAAACGAGTTGCTTATATCTTTGATATATTTTTGATATGTTGGATGTATACAGCATCAAATAGTGTTTGTAATGCACAGTTGGCATAGAGGCGACATACACCGCCATGGCATCCTCTACACTACACATCGACCTGCTATACACCCGGAGTTTAAGTTCGTTCCACCTGGAGGGAAAAACCATGGCATAAAAAACTCCAAGAGGTCGTAAGGACCAGAAACTAAGATGCTTACTCTTTCAACTCGTTCCACTGAAAAGGGCGAGCTCCTAGAAAATTACGAATTCCAATAGCGAGCTCAATTTAAATATTTGTTTGTTTTTTTTGAATCCGTGTAAATGCCCTTCTAAGAGATGACTTAGATTTCAATTATCCATGCTCAGCGTATCAACTTAATACTTTTCATAAACTAAAAGGTGTAAAAAACAAGAGATAAACTGCATTACCCTGTCTCCTTTCAAAATAATGACGAAAATCTTACTATTGTTTTGTTATTTATAATTATAATAATTATAATAATAAAAATAAATATAAATGATAGTGTGGTACTTAGCCTTCTTTGTCGAATTTCGACAACTCTTAGTCGCTTGTCTTGTTATTTTTTCACAGATTGTCTTACATGATCATCAAAGACGTCCAATGGAGAAATAGAAAGATTTTTTTTGTAACGGACATAGTAACGCTCTGACGTAACAACATTACGCCACGAACCTTTGTTTTGACACACACACACACACACACACACACACACACACACACACACACACACACACA